AGCGCGGCACCGCCCCACCCATGGGCTGCCTATAACGCGCCGCCTGATTGGCTGCTTGAGAACCTCGCCTCCAGAAACTCCCCGCCCTCTCAGCTATGCTTCCGGGTGACCCAAATATAAGGCTGGTCCTGATTGGAGGACATAGAACTCTACCCCCACCACCTATAGTGGGGCTTGGTTTGTTCCAGATTCACATTACCCCCCACTTTTATTTGGGTGTTTCCTGGACAGACGCAACCAGGCCACGCGCCTCACCTTTCCGCCTCTGTCATCTCCCCGCCCCCAACTGCCTTGTTTGTAGCATCCACGTCACCCGTCCCGCCCCTACCCGCGTGCTAACTGCGCAGGCGCAGGGCTGGCTTGGGCTCTGAGTCTGCCTCTGCGGAGGGGCGGGGCGGTGCGTGTTGGTGCTGCGGGGCAGCTGGGACGGCCTTTTCGGCCGGGTCGCGAATGAGCCCCGCGCCCTCCCGCACTGCCACTCGCCTGCCTTTTCCCCTGCCTGTGCTATTGTTCCACTTCTTGCCGCTGTTTTCTGCTCCCTGGTCTATGCTTCTCCAACTGCCCTCCTGCTCTGCTTTCTGCTCCCTCGTCCACAATCCCTGCCTGACCTGCTCCCTGCCTATTCTCTTTTCGCTTCCTAGTTTATGCTCTCCACCTAACCTCCTGCTCTGCTTTCCGCTCCCTAGTTGATGCTCCCTGTCTGACCTCCTGTTCCACCTTCTCGGGCTCCCTGCTCATTCTCCTCTTGCTGCTCCCTAGTCTGTGCTCCCTCCTGCTCTGCTCTCTGCTTCCTAATTGTGCTCCCTTCCTGACCTCCTGCCCTATCTTCTGCTCCCTCCCTACTCTTTCCTCTCCTGCTTGCTAATCTACCCTCCCACACCTGACTTCCTGCTCTGCTTTCCATTTCCTAGTTCCTAGCAAAATGGGTATGACAGGAGGACCTGAGCAAAGCCATTTTTGTTTTATGTAGTGGTTGGTAAATTTTTAAGATTCCAGGAACCCCTTGTTAGACTTGAGGCACCCTCAGTAAAGGCCACCACTTAGTTTTCACTTGTGTTTTGACTACAGACAAAAATAAAGCAGTGTTGTTGCGAAGATATCAGAAAGGCCACAAGAGATCAGAATGTTTTTAATGCCAGGGAGTTCAAATAGTAATCTATAGGTTTATCTTGTAAATCATATGTAGGTGTTTGTAAACCTAGCAGTGCTAATAGTCTACAGCACCTTGCTTGAGAATTGCTGGTTTAATGCAAAGCTGGCACCTCATTTACTGTAATTCTAATTTGTTGATTTAGACCTCCCCACCATTTAATGAGCTCTCTACAGGTCTGCTAACAAGATTAGCCTGTGCAAAGTTAATTGGGAGATCAGACTCTGAGGGGGTAGAGCAGTGGTTACCAACCAGTAGATCTTAGAGCCTCTTGGAGTCAATCTGAGGCTGGGGTGGGAAGGCTGAGTGCCCACATGCATGCATATATGTGTGCCTCAACCCAGGAGGTCAGTCCATGGGGGAGGGAAGGGATGGGGCCTAGGTTGAAGCCCCCACGGTGAGGGACAGTGCCAGAGGCA